TCCTCTTCGATCCCCACCATTTAATGGACTTACGGTCCCGAGTACAAATTTGTAGACGAGTTTTTTGGTTTTCTTTTCGTCCAATGCATGGAGGAATAAAGAATAATCACGATGAATGATAAAAAAAATGGAAAATAACTAGTACAAGAATACAAATTAAAGTTTCTTGTATCTAGTTATGTAGAAGAACTGAGAGGAATGTGAATTAAAAAAAAAATGAACTCCTTTAAATTGTGCAACAGGTATTTGATTGTGTATATATTCTTAAAACCAAGTTTAAATCAGATGAAAATGGTGAGAGACATAAGACAATATAATACTTGTAGACATATGTAGTTAAGTTAAGATCTACGCATAATAATAATACATTAATTACTTTGATAAATGTTATCTGGTTGCTAAACTCACCACATTGACAATGTTATTGAACTTATTAGCTCGACGCCGCTCATTAGCCGAAACCCATCACCCAAGTGACATCTCTTTTAATAACTAGACGATTTCAAGTTTCCCGGTGAATTAAAACATCGACATGAAATCGCAAAACATGTTTTCTCTTTTCATCTAATGATGAGGTAATTGTTTTCTCTAGTCTACTAGTTTGGTTTCGGCTCTTTGCGATAGCCAATAAACCGCAAAACACTCTTACCGGTTAATGAATTTCTATTTTGAGAAAAACTACAGTTTGAAGAACATGTGTAATGTACTTGACGATCATTCGTTGGTTTTGTAGAATCTTAGTGTGTCTAATTTCGTTGCAAACTATGCTAAATAAATATGAATATTGCTTCATCTCATGATGCACTTTTCCTGTGACACTAGCTACAACAACATTTTAAAGTGTCTCCAAGCTGGTTTAGTTCGTTGTGTAGATTAAACCTTTGGATCATATATTATTTTATTATCCATCAGCAAATGAGCATATATCTGGAGGAAAAAGGACCTACAAATACGATTTAGCTTTTTTTTTAGTTACTAGTATCAAATCTATTTAGTGTTAAGTGTTAACAACACTTTGATTACGTTGGGTTGGGTATAGAGTAACCTACTATCTGACGTTGACCTAATCTTACACACACACACACGCGCATATATATACTATTTGCATATATATACTATTACGGTTTTACACACACATGACATTTCGTAAACAAAATACCCAGCAGTTACATTTACGTACATGCGACAACAAGAATCTTTTTCAAGAACTGCATTGACTTTTTTGTTGTTAAACCGTAAAAGTTAGAATTGAAGTTGGCTTATATATATGTTTATTACAATAGTTCACTGTACTTTTTCCTTTTGTCAATATAAATTTGTAATGTTTTAGCTGATCAGTTTCTAAAGAGATATATTGTACTTTCCTACGCGCGAACAGTTAAGTTGTATAGTGTGAATGATCATCAAGTCTGGAAGAAAAATGTTTGGACTTATTAATAACTTCTCTTCCCTGTAGATCGATACAGCTCACATGTAGATCGATTTAGTCCGTCCACTTGTATGAGCATAATAAACTCAACATGAGTCTTGTTTTTTATTTAATTATGTCTATCTAACTTCAATACTTTTTTGCTGGAAAAGAAAATAAGAGATTTGAAAAATTTTACCAAACACCTAGGACTGGATGAGATACCAGCCATATTCATTTCGATTTTATTATCTGTTTCGATTCGTTCAAAATTTGAATGACCATAATTCCTACAAAACAAATTAAATAATTAAAAATTGATATTCGTAAGAAAACCAAAACAGACCACAAATACTAAAAATTGGAAAAAAATAGCTGCTCCGTTTTAATATATAATAACTACAACAATCTCGATCACTTGCTGTTTATTCTTTAGATTTCGGATATGGACCAACCATTCAAATTTCTTGTCAATTGTGCACTGTATGTGGATTAGAAAAATGTCAATCCACACAAATTACAAATATCATCACAATTCGAAATATTTAATTTAGCTATGCGTCCACCATTGTTGTCAAAATTTATACATACCGGAAAACTATTAAATATAAATAGAGGACAAAAACTTAAGGCTTTTGAAAGCATGGGACGAAAAAGTAAGAAATATTCCAGCATGCGTCTCGAGATATTAAATTTTACTTTTTTTCTTTCTAATGTATATACTGTTTTTTTTGTGTGAAAATTTTGCTAAATTGACTCACATTAAATTAGTGTTTTGCAAAATAACATTTGCTTTTTTGTACCAATTTTTTCCTATATTATTTTTTGATTAATATTAGAAAATATAAAAAAATGGTTTTTATAATTT